GTTGGTCTACCCTCTTTCCAGGAGGGCGAGCAAACTGTGGAACTCACTGCCAGATGACGTGATGAAACAGGGAAATCACAAACTCATCAAAACGAAACTGGACGCAAATCTGACAAAGAGAAAGCGTGTGTCGCTATTTAAGGACCAAAGCCAAGATTGGATGGTGAAGAAGCTCATACAAGAGGTGTGCGACTGCCTCTTATTCAGAAAATTTGATACTTGAAAATTGAGTTCAGGAGAGAAGCTTGGTAGTTTCAACACCAAGGGGCAGCAGTCTTACCTTGCATTCTTCTTCCTTCGTGAATTTTATTCCGGGAATCAAACAGTTCAGGTATTGATGGAATCGCGCCGGTTGAAACTATTCCAGTATCACAAATGTGTCATTCGTGTATAATATCCAGAGGCGGGGTCTGATATTTTCGATTGCATAGACTTCAGATTATTTCATGATTGCATCTGAAAGCAGGCCCGAGATTGGCGACCCCATGGGCGCACCTAGTATTTGTTTTTCACTCAACTGGAAATAGGTTTCCTAGTGAAGATTCACCAAATAAAATGAGTCCTTCGTTGATAGCATTGTTATGTTTTGTGGACTGGAGTCGTTTTCTATCTAGAGCCATCTGTCCTGGTGTGCTCATGAACAGTTATGCCAAATTGAAGGGAATAATAGATTCGTCTATTTGAATGTTTGAAGTTTTCGAAGCGTTTTGTGTCCTTCCTGTCCTTTGGCAGGGATGGACACAATAGACGGAGAGTGTTTTTGGCTAATTGAAAGTTCGAGGCTGCAGTCGACAATTAGATTGGTCGGCAGACCACCTGCGGTTTGTGAACAATAGGATATTCGTTCGGTATATATATATACATATACATATATATATATATATATATATATATATATATATATATATATATATTCAGTTTGCCTGTTTTCGTCTATATTCATTTGTTTTTCATGAGAATGGTTTCGACTCCTTTTCTGGATTTTATCAAAGGAAATATCTGAACCCCCACCAGATATCACCAGTGGATGCGGACTTCCAACTTTCGTACTCTTCATGTAAAAGGTCATGAGTTTCAGTTTCTTGGGGCAGAATTTTGCTCAAAAATCGGCGTCGTTCCACGAACTACGGTACGTAACGGCAGACAACGGTATCGTAAGTCTGCTTTACTTTCAGAAATGGAAAAGCCAAACTCAATTGTGGATTTGTAATTCAACAGTGACCTTAATTACTATTCAATTGTTTGAATACCTGAAAACAACATCGAGCAATCGGTTAAAATAGGCGTACCACATTCTAACTTTGTTCAACATCATTCAAGTATTTGAGAAAACTCAGTGTTGGATGTTCTATGGGACAAAGTCGGTCCAAATTACTCAAGCGATCAGTGGTTAAGCCATTGTTCGGAGCTATCATGAGTCACGCCTGACCAAAATGTCACAGGTTTAGGGCTAGCGTGGGTTTGTATTTGTGCGTGGACGCATTCGTGTGTATACTTGTGTGTGCGTGGAAAAGATGCTGAAATGTATCGGCAGCGAGGTACTAAGATAATGGACCATGAAATAAATGAACAGTTCCCTAGGGCTAGATCAACAAAGGAGTTCATCAAATAGGCATGGCAGATGCAACAACCATATCCGTTATTTGAACTAGCAGTTATATCGAGCTGTCGCGAACGTCGCACGCGAAATGCACTTTGGATCAAACCTTTCTCAATGGAATCTCAAGTTTGGGCTCCCTTACTCAACTGTGCATTTACAAATCCGAACATACACATGAGTGGTGACATTAACATTGCTCAAAAGCTGCCTCGCCCCTCAACCCCGCCAAATCAACGCTGCTGACTTGTGTACCGCCCTCAAACTCAAGTGGTGCAATTATTTCTCACAACCACTGCTAACGCGGAGATAGAGTGACAACGTCCACTCACAGTCCTCTCCCCAGAAGACACTTTACATAGGCCTAGTTGGATGAGCTGGTCCATCGTGTAAATAAGCACCAGCCACAAGAATTGATGACCCGGGGTCATGCACAGCTCAACAATGTCTAAGGGCCATTGCTGTGTGATGGCAGAGGCGAGCATTAATGATCTTCAAATCTCCAACTTTAACACTGTTTAACTTCGACGATGATTGGTGCACATTCGGACAGTTATGGTATGTTCTTTGGTCTTTCTAAGCTAATATCGGTGGCATCTCCACCAGGATTACCGAACTCTACAGTAGAACTTATAGAACCTTCACTACTTCAGGAACAGTGATTACATTGTTGCAATGGTAACAGTTGTACATCACACGAAGCTGCTAGGGAATGCGGTACTTTAATCTGCGCATGTTGTTCACGGTCATCTTCATGCCGCTGTGCAAGTTACAAGGCTCTTCAAGCTGAGGAAATCCTCGACAGTAAAATCTTATCCATTTTCGGTTTGCTTATCCGATATCATTCCAGCTTTCATCATCTTATACTACTTTAGTAACCTGACTTGCCCAATCACCGGTAATTTACGAATGTATGCCATCAAGACATCCTCCTCGACTCTCCATCGAACGGACACTGACTCAAAACTACTTGGCAAATGATCGACTTCTATAGAAGGCGTTATCAAATTTGAGGCTGGCTGCTTCACAACCTTCAATTCAACAAAGACTGTCTCGATAGTCAAGCAGTTTGGGCTTTGTGAGATACCAGCATGTCGTGCCTGATCAATTTCGGGCAAAAACGTCCGAACATGTATCGATGAGTGCCGAAGTATGTAGAGTTACACGAGAAACTGACACTCTAGGAGAATGTCGAGAGTTCAACCAGTATGGGTCGTGTGCATAGTGGGATGTTGATACAATCTGGATTAGGCAATAGTCTTGCGTTGTTTTATGATTATTCATGGTGTTTTCTATCGCTCTCATAGGTAACACATTTCTAATTACTAGAACAGCCTCAAGTGTGATGTCCAGATTATAGGTAAACACAAAATAGGCATTTTTACTGCACATAAAAGTCAACTTTCCTGGACTGCCGACAACCAAATGCATTTGGCTATTTCGAGCACGGGATGGATGTCCATTCAGTACTCACTTTGAATGGTGTGTGGGTAAATATTATGTCAGGGCGTTTATGGAGACAGAAATGCACGAAATGAAATCAGAAGACACACAAACTAGCACCGAAATGTACTCGTTCTTTAATAAATAAAATGGGGCAGTTTGATAAGCATGAAATATGTAGGAGTAAAACCTGCGCACACTTATGGATCAATAAACTATGTGATTGGTGGGCATTACCTTGTCAAATGCTGTCACATGATGCAGAAGTGTACTATTATAATCAATATCCTAGGTTGCATTAGGATGAGTCATACGTGACAAATGTTTTGGTCGTATATGAAAATGCATGAGTGATGATTAGAGTGTACACTGGACAAATGAACAGTGATTGATCAAAATGTGATTTCGTGTATAGCATTTGAGTTGGATCCTAAATCGCATAGTTTTCCCTACTCCGAGCCAACAATATCATATATACAGAATAACTAGGAGTTTTTTGTATGGAAAACCCGCTTGCATTTTTCACATGGAAAAGTCGGACGCCGTGAGCCGTAATCGAACTGGCTACCCTCAACATACCGGGCAGATGCTCTACCAGCTGACTTTTCCATGTGAGAAATGCAAGCGGATTTTCCATTACATGAGACTCGGGTACCTAGTGCCAAATATACATTTTATGAACATATTAAATTGTCCACTGGATCACGTTCGTCTGTGTGCTGTTCGTTCCATTGGGAAGAGACCGAGCAGTCTAACTCAATGATTAAAACTAGGACAGTTGCTATGTCTTATTAAAATAGTGGTTCGCCCATTATCGAATATTCACACCCGACTGCCAGGACCGTGGTAGTTCATCCCGTAGAATTTCTGTCCAGTACGCGAAGTGTGGTGTCTCGATTCCCATTTGCGGCGTTCGACCTTCCAATGGGATAAATGCAAGTGGATCTTCCATCACATACGATTCAGGCTTCTATTACCTACATTAGATCTTATGAATTGGGAGTTTGTTTGGCTTTGTTAGCCAGAAACTATAAAATGGCTCAAAATAAGGTCTATCTGAGCTGATAGAAAATTCATTGGCAGAACAGAAGCATCAATTTAGTAGAGAAGTAGTTAGCTTACGAAGATAGATTTTCGTGCTGGAAACCTTATTGAGATTTGTCTTCAGTTACGTTTGTAAGTGAGAAACTTAACAAATCTTCATTCGGATGGCCAGTTTTACTGATAATTTAGCACTCTCTGTGTTAGGCTTGAATTGAACGTAGAACCCTTTACAAATGAATGCACTAACACGCGCTTCTGTTCGAATAAATTCCCGAATAATTCTCGGGAATTGGGTAGGAGGTGATTTATTTAAGCTCCTGTTGCATCAACGCCTTACCCGTATAGTATTGCACAACACATGATAAGAGCTACCTTCAATATGGATCACATCACTAGCAAAATATTGAAACATCATATTATATTTTCAACATGTGTCATCCTTGAGCAGCAAAAGGGCTTCCCTTTCGCCTGAAAGTAGTTCCTTGTTGTGAATCTACGAAGTATGTCTCGTGGTGACTGATAGGATTTACTCGAAGTCAGCAAACCGTAAAGTTGAAATCTAACATAAATTACAGTGAATCATGTACTTCAAGTCTAGTCTCTCATCTCATCAATCCCTCCGGTTAATTTTCAACCAATTCAAACTTTATCTCTCTCTCTCTCTCTCTCTCCTTCGCGGTACCCGTTGAAACTTTTGGTTGGTTTGCGAGCTGACGAACTCGTTCCAAGTTGGGTTTGTATGTCTTTCTGTGTTGTGCCTCTATACGGGTACGTCTTGCATTGGTCTTCTCATTGTCGGTCTAGAATCACTGATTTGACCAAGCTGTGACCAATCGGTTAAACAGGCTTAAGAAGCTTTGCATTGTTTCCACTAGTCATTCGACAAATTTGACGGGGTTCAAACAGAAGTTTCATCATGGACATCTTGCTGTATCGTGTGAATCAAATTATTGCCTGGTTCGTTTTTTGGCTCTTCATATGTTTTTATTCGACCAACGTGAATGGTGACAACGGTGAGTTCTCTTGGTTTATTGTGCGAGCTAAGTTAACATTGGGACCACAAACAACCGTGTAACATGCCTTCACGGTAAATATATATATATATATATATATATATATATATATATATATCGAAGTAAATATTGAAGCTTTTCTTCATATTTTATGCCATTTTTTCAGATCATATTGGTCGGATCTAATGGAAAATCACAATCAGATATCTGAAGACCCCGATTTGCGCTCCGTTTATTTTAACAGGCTGTTGGGCCTCAGTTTTAAAGGGTTTGTTAAAACAGAGAACAGCCGATTGGCATAATTCAACTGAATGAGTCAGATGGAACCATCGTTTTCGTAATCGGACAACAATGGTGTTCTGCTGGTTTTTGAAGCGATTTAGATTTGTCACACAGCAGAGTAGTATGATAATCCCAATATAACTCTAGTTTGAAAGCTTGATAAAACTAAACCCAAACAGATTTGGAATGCATGTTTCATGTGTGGTATCACCAAATCCAGTACGTCGATTTCAAGTCACGGTATGTAAAGGGGCTGCTTCGACTTTTACCTACCAGATCTAATATTGACGTGTCGGTATTGTTGGACCAGTTATTCTGTTACACTAGTCAGTTTTCTGGCAATAAATAAAAAGCAAATTCTCATGTTTGAATAAGGATCATTTATTGCATCATCAGTAATTTTCAGGAACAAAGACTCAAGGCACAATGGAATAAGCGAGTGGGACAACCTACTTGAGAGAACAGTGAAGCTCACCAAGATGAATGGTTGTAACGTGTGCTTCAGGTGATTTCGAGTGGGAATTTGAGCTCCACAACTTGTTTCCATACCAGTGAGTTTTCGAATTTGGGAGGATGACCAATTCTCTCTTACCATAATTGCATGAAGACCATGAAGAATAGACTCAACCTTGGGTGATGTCATAGACTTTCGGGATGTCATGCAGCTCATTGGTTGTTTTCTCTTTCATGTATTTATATTAGTATGGTTCACCGGGAACGTTTTGGGATTCAGATGTTCTCCGGTGCCCGAAACTGGGGTCTTCGCAGATCTTCTTGTTTTATTATCTTTTTCAAAATCGCTTGATTTTCAACTCAGGTTGGTGGTGAACATGATTGAAATGAATCTCAGCAACTGTTGTTCATTCATTACCCTCACTAGGACTCAGCAGATGAACTTCAGAGGTCCTTGTTTTCTCCTGCAAAGACCAACAAATTGTAGGTACACACTCTTCATCTTGAATGTTTCGGTTGTTTCATATCATGAACATATCACAATAGCTATCAGATCATCATTCGTGAGTGTTCCTGTTTTTATTAAAATTCGGCTGGATGCTTTCGAATAATTATATCTTGAGTCTAATGAGAGCATCAAATGTTTGCCCGGCTATCAATCCTGCCGTTCTCTCTAACATTAGGGTAAACCAAATTGTAAATAATTCATCAATGACACCATGCTTTCACTCACTGGGAGCTGATCAATTTCGCTGCAAATGTCATTCTCCGTAAATAATCTGAGAATTCTCTACGCAAAACGATGAAAGTTAGCCTAACCAGTATCCCTTTTCAATGAAAATCTGCTTGTTCTCTTCAAACATGATCAACTAGCTTTTTAGAGAGGCAGATTCGATTATTGTTCCCCTGCACTCCACTGAACTGGTCATTCTATGGTGCATTCTCCTGGATTTTCGTGATAAGGTTACGTACTGTCGTGCATGCCAAAATATCGATCTGTTCTCTCAGTAAATTTTCTCCAAATTGTTCAGTGACGATTTTCCGATTTTCTTTCGTGTTCCAGATCTGACACAACGCATCAACGAAACCAAATTGTAAATGTTTCAACCATGACACCATGCTTTCACTCACTGGGAGCTGATCAATTTCGCTGCAAATGTCATTCTCCGTAAATAATCTGAGAATTCTCTACGCAAAACGATGAAAGTTAGCCTAACCAGTATCCCTTTTCAATGAAAATCTGCTTGTTCTCTTCAAACATGATCAACTAGCTTTTTAGAGAGGCAGATTCGATTATTGTTCCCCTGCACTCCACTGAACTGGTCATTCTATGGTGCATTCTCCTGGATTTTCGTGATAAGGTAACGTACTGTCGTGCATGCCAAAATATCGATCTGTTCTCTCAGTAAATTTTCTCCAAATTGTTCAGTGACGATTTTCCGATTTTCTTTCGTGTTCCAGATCTGACACAACGCATCAACGAATTCAAATTGAACTATCAAATACTAACACAAAAGTGGAATGAACTTATCTATCATGCCAACAAAAACGGCCTACGTAAGTGTACGAGATAGAATATTTGAAAACGAATATAATGATGTGTCCTATTACAAATTAATTGGGAGAACCCATACTAAAATTACTTTTGCAAGCATAATAATGAATCCCCATTTGTGGATTAGTTGCAATTTATTTTTCAAATCGAATCGCCTTTCGCATGCGGATATTGTGTTTTATACGTTCTGAAAATTTTGATGGCAGCTCCACCAACATACTGCTTTTTCTGGTGTCATGAACCCTAGCACATTTTTATGGCCATTGGTAGAGTTCATTAGAATATGATTTTTCAAATTTTATTTATTTTGGGGACACTGTGCTCAGCTACGGGATTTCAGTAGGCCAAAATCAACGATCATAAGTTGAGCGTGAATTGGTGTCGATTGTTTTCACCCGGTACAACATTACGGGGAAAATCTTATGAGAATGTTCCTTATTAGCAGATGGTGAGAGGGATAAACTGCATATGACAACTTACAATAGTTTACTTGATTGACTGTAGTTTGCACTTCCCTTTTCATACCACACATCAGGTTATCCGACCAAAGTTGCATTCGGAGGCAATAGACTTGAGATCTTCTTTTGTTAGAACTAATCAGCGGTGCATATCCACTGCCACGCTTAGGGTTTGACCGAGATATGCACACTTGAAGGATCTGTGTACTACCACTGTACCACTTCGCACCCGACCGGGCTGATCCAAATCACTGAGGTATATTTGTTCATATATCGTCCTCTAAGGCAGTCAGTAGTGCTCGATGGCTTCGAATAGGGATACGGCATCACACCGTTGACTCCGAGCGAATACCTCTCTCCAAGTCATGTCTTCTCCGTAGAATTGGGGTACTACTTCCATCTACTCCCTTCGCGATTTTGACATTTGTGTATACCTCATAACTGCTTGGCAGCAGTCATTGAGCACTGCCTGGGGTCATAGTGTACTACCTCTCAATAAACCTGACTTGGTTATTCGGGTGAGCTCGGTCGCGGGCGAAGTGGTGCAGTGGTAACACTCATACATTTCAGGTTAGACTTTCTGGGTCGAAATCCTGAGCCCAGCAATAGATATGTACCACTGATGAGCTCTAACCAGAGGGAAACTCCAGTCTCGTGCTTCCAAGGACAAGGTTGATCGGATGACCTGAGGTTTGTATGTGAAAAATCTTGTCCAAGACAATTCATTAAAGTAACCATATATGTTGTCTGATTACTCCCAGTGAGCACATGATTAGAACACAGATTGGCGAACAAGCTCGTTTTCAGTGATTCATACTCATGCCATTACATCACAATGCTGACATATCAGCAATAATCTCTATCACTTTCTATAATTCTAATTGGTCCGATTTCGTAACTTGTCGTTATATAATGTGATGTAATAGCTTGAGTACGAATCATTGAAAACGAGCTTGTTCACCAATCTGTGTTCTCATAAACTGACTATCATCGCAGACTGCCATAACCAGCTTCTTGGTTCGACGATGTCGTTCTCCAATGTGATCTACCGAAGCGCTGTTTTGCAAAAGACACTGCGGAAAAAACTTACGATAACCACTAATTGAAGACAGTTCCCAAAAATATTATATTATGGTGACCAGAAAAGTCTTTAAAATGGTACTGGGCTAAGTGAAACTACACAGGATGAGAAACGTCTCGTTGAAATGCACTCACGTTGGTCATTGTGGAACTGATTCAAGAAACAGACTGTTCTTCATTCAGATTCACTACGTAGCACTATTGACCGAAGAGGGGATCAGGTCAGTTGACCATGTGCATTGTTTAGCCTGACACGTGGTGAAGTGTATAGTCTATCCGAAAAAAATCGGGATCAATTCGATTCGGTCGAAGTTCCAACATACCGTGGAGTTCCACTTTGCACAACCGATACTATCGTTTAACGCGGAGGAGAAGTATCAGTAATATAGATGAGGATTCGTCTGCACGTCAGGATTTTGACCCCTCCGAGGTTATGCCAATTTTTTTCGGACAGAATGTACACATATTTCACTCGGTACATTTAAATTGTATTTGCACGGGTGCTCACATGTATGTCCATCGTCGGGAGCGGAACATATATAGAATTCTTGTGTCTGTTGAAGAGCGTGAACAAGCAGGCCAACTCAAGTAGAGGCGTATGAGCGCTCAGGTCCATGAAGTGTTTCGTTGAGTAAGCATAGACAACTCGATGGCAAAGGAATGGGTTATTTTCGAAAGTCATGCAAGTAAGACTGGTGTATAAACGAGCGTCTGTTTTACGATGCATGATGGATAGTGTGTTTGTCATATTGGATATCGAGTTGCATAAAGAAGGGCAAATTGAAAGCAATTTTCCAGTAACTGATAGTTTTTGGTTAGTTGAAGGAATAACTCACTCATACTTCGCGTGACATCACCATGGTGTTCATAGACGATCGATTTATGCAACTCAATCACCGAGGAAATCTAGACAAAGAGTTTGGTATGGTAAATGCTTCTAGCAAAGTGGGCATGTATGTGATAGACATGCTAGGAGACTTTTGGTGAACTGCTATTCAGAATTACGTGAACAGCGGAATAGTTAGAAAATTTCCTATTATATACTGATATAATAGCCGCGTTTTGAGCTAGCATTTCAGAATAAGCCAGTCCATTTTTCTGAAGCAAAATAACCGACTCAAACGTTGCTCAAAATAACCTATCGATCTATTGTTAGATCACAGGGATGAGTGGGAGTGTGAGAGCCCAATGTTGTCCAATGTTGTTTGCCCTGAATCACTTCACTCTCCTTCGAAATTCAGTCTGACATGTAGCTATTTGTGAACACATGTATCTGTCCTTGATGTGAGTACTCATTAACTCCTTTTTTATCGTGCGACCAATATGTTCTCTTTATCTATGTCTGCCAGCTCCCCGAAGTAAGTAAGCATCTCACTCACCAACTGGTGCAGTGGTGCTCTGCAAATTGAATATATGCAGAATTGATAAAATGGATGTTTTGGTGTTTGCATTTGTGTCACGAATGTGCATTATGTCCGCTGTTAGGTCCCGCAACTGTTCGAATTTCTGACAGCGTTCTGCTGGTCGATTCTGCCTAGTGTAATGCGCACGCACGCACATCATCTCGAATAACCCATTGCTCGAATCATCGGTCCAAAACAGATCTTCGGTTCCCTGAAGAATAGATGGGGGAATAAACACCTATATTCGGGATGTTCGCAGACTAGTAGAGTAAAGTTTTTACAATGATGCGATGGTCATGATGTGATTCTGTGAACGTTATCGACTGGAGTGGAATTATCACATGAATACTACACTTAAAATGGCATTGTCCTGATTCCAAAGGTTTATACCTAATGATAAATTTATGGTTGTCTTTATTTTGCAAAGCCCTGTCTAAGGACAGGGATTCATCATGTGTGGTATATATAGTGCATCGTTCATGGTCGCAGTGGACAGTTGACGAAAGCTCATTTTACCCTCCGGGTGAAATGTTCGAGCCCCACCACTGTCGACCATCATACTTCTGGTGAACAGTCGAATGCCGGTCATACTTGACCGAACTGGATAATACTGTGTTCAGACCAAACATCCGTCTTTGTTCCTTCATGGTGCCCTAGGCATTCCCATCATCCAGTGAAACGATTCTGAAGCCTACTGTATTTCTAGTTCGGTGACACTAATGAAAGGTCTCCGTAACCAATCGTGAACTCATTTGTTATCCAGTAAACAAGGAAGCATACACCGGCTACTATGCTCTATTTTTGACAACTCTGTCTATATCTTGTTCGATACATGCAGGCTTGTGATAACTACATCATTTGAATTTGAACTAGCATTGTCCAGAATGGAACACTTTTCAACCAAGCTCAACAGTCACGAGAGCGAAATTATGCAGGCATGTGAGTTCATCAACATGCTTACGATTTTCATGTGCACCATTTTAGCGTAGCTGTTGTGCAATCCAATGCGTAAGGACCCTCTGCAGAATACCCATAGATGATTACACAGTATCAAAAACGGTGACCAACAAATACTGGGTTGTGGGAATGAAATTTTTATTTTTAGAAACTTAGAGCAAGCCATTATTCGTTTGTTTATCGCTGTTAAGGGGAAGAACTAGACACTAAGCTTTCAGTACAGTACAAGTTCGCAAAAATATGATCCGCATTACTAACTTCTGTGAGGGCAGATTTATCATCAGTTTCAGCATTTCCACATACTTTTCCCATCCCTACGTTGATCTTTGGCCACGAGAGCTGTCGGTCATGGATAACTGTGTTTCCGAGCACAAGGTCGGTCTGTGTAACTTGAATGCGATTGCTTCGGCCTTATTGAGGATTTGTTGTCTGAATCTTTTAGAGTGGTTTCCTGACACACGGCAGATAACTCCAAATGGCCCATCCCGAGTAAGTGCCACCGACATTGATTGTACGGGCAAATATGGCTGTGGTTGAAGTCTCTTTGATCACTTTGGCTAACCATGTTGGATGGTGTTCCTGAATTCGATTGGACAGGAGCCAGGTTGTTTTTTCCACGTATTTCTGTCAACAGAAGCAAGACAAGGAATGACTGCTCATTTCCATGTCACTAGTAGGTATGCTAAGGCAAATCGAATATGCTGGCGAGAGTCATTGGTTTTATCACCCATAACAATCATGATAATTTCCCTGCGAAATACAACATTGATGTACGGTAACAAAATAACGTGAGCTAAATTGTATCAGATAGCTCTTGAGTATCACTACCAAACTCGTCTGGCAGATGATACGTAGGTTCTCTTTAAAGATACCATCAAGGAGGCATCAAAGCAGAACCTCAAACGGGAAGAGAACTACAGGATAACTGATCACAAACAACGAACACTGGGCACTGGGATCAACCCTACAAATGTATTTCATTTTTCAAAACCACTTTATCTTACCTCAATGCGTGAAAGTTGTCTCCATGAATCTGCTCCTTGCTATCCCTAATAATCCATGACAAACAAGTAAAAACTAGGGACATTCTTATCTGGTCTAACAAAATTTTTTATCCCAGCATATGAACGGGAATGAATATGGAACGATTTTACACTGGACAGTTTTTACATTCAGTAATTTAAAAGTTGGCCATGAAATAAAAATCCCCAGATTGGCCGGGATAAATCCGGTCGCATACCGAGCAACCGGTCCGACTCCTGCAGCACTAGCCACACTGAACAACTTCAAGGACATGATTTTAATATATTATGTTCATAATTTGCTTAAAATTTGAGATCAACTCAGATCAGTGTTTTCCAGAGGTTCTTTGAAGTGAGAAGTGAAAAAAATTATTCTTAACCATTACTTGTTTAAACGCCCTTTCCGAATATATTTTCCGATCTAAAATGCAGCTCATTGTCCGGCTTTTTTTCTTCGAATGAGGAAACTTAAATTTGTCGGGACAAGGCAACTTTTGGGTAGGTTGGTTGATTGTAGATCAAGAAGATAAAGCCATGTTAGTTTAGAGGAGAAAAGCAAATGTTTTTCTATGCGACTTGTGCCACACTCTCTGGGAGATTAACTAGGCACACCAGTGTTTTCAAAATACATGAGTATAAGGACTACCGATCACACCACGAACAGATCGCCGAATAATGCGTCATCACAAGTATGAAATTAAATCACAAATCCAAATATTCTAAATAATCTCACCATTACACGAGCTGTTCAAGATGTAAAAGATATTGCCCTCAACGATGTAACTGCTGAGGAGAATGAGTGATTGGCTCAGATCCCAATGAGGAGAAGATTTTGATGTTTGCAATCTGGTGGCCGATCAAATGTGGCTGTTCACAATTTTTTCCGTCGACTCGGTTCACGTTATGAATACGCCAAGCAAAGAACACCTCTGAATCATGACTCCCATCGTTCCATCATCTTGTTAACACAATGAAGCACTGGATATTCTCATCATTAGTATCACCTCATATGATTATCAAAGAGCAAGGTGATTTCCAAATTTATATTGAATACCCACAGGTAATATTCTGAAATCCAAAATGACCTTTATTGCATCGTGTAGTACATCCCATTGGTAAGTGTTCAAAAAGAATTTGTGGTATTACAGGTTATCTAATTTAATCCCTCATTTTGTCGTGCAAATTTCCTCAAGATAATTTTCATCCGCCATACGGATAACAGGCTTTTTGCACGGAAGAAAGCACGGGAACTGAGAAGACGTTTATGTTGTGCTCTTCATAGCTCAAACAATGGGTGCACGTCACTTATAAAGCAAAACGAGACTTTCCAAGCCCCGGTGAGATTTCGCGTGAAAACAGGTGCACTCATTTTACGATTCCCTAATTGCAAGGAAAATATTCGGCTTCTATGGCATTTAGAAACTCTGCAAATGTCATAAATCTGTTCGAAAATGTGATTTGCGCGTTTTCGCTTCAGGTTTATCACAGTCACAAAATTGGAGCTTAACGTTTTTTCTGACCGTACATGTGTTTACTTTTGAAAACAAGCCTTCTTTTTTATATTTTTTCTCATTGACAATCAGTGTTTTCACGAGTTGATATTGCCTACTCAGTAAACAATACATACTTGTGTAGATTTTCGACAAAATCTTGATTTGTTTGTATTCAAGTTGTTCTCTGCAACTTCCCAATTCATTGCAGATTATGACAAACTAGGTAAATTCAGGTTATCCAGTTGAGCTCTTCGTAAGATTTTACTTGAATTGGTCATTCGAGTGTGATTTGAATGTCCTCCACAGAGTCATTTTCTGATTGGAAACACATTAAAAACTACGGACCATATTTATTCAGACTGTTGAGGTGTGAATTAGTTTACAAGGGGATTTCCAGGTGACCGTATGGCTGAAAGTATTTGTGGACGAGTCCCGCACGGCCAGTTAGGAATAGGGTGGCTATTTTCTCTTTATATCGGTATCTTTTTGTACCGGAACTGCGTCAGGAATTTTTACCCACGAGAAAACTCTTGGTGGAATTGATGAGAGTCATTGGCTAACCTAAGAAAAACGTGCTGTTGGCTGCCAGCGAGTTTCATTATAAGATCAACATAAATCGTACTCAAGTACACGGGCTGTTGTCGTGGATAACGTGAGTTCCCTTTCATCATGATTTCATAATCAAATTGACAGTCAGAATTTTACCAATATTGTGAACATGCCATGAACGGAAATTGTTCTTTCTGTTATTCTTTTCGATCGATTTAGAGACGAGTTTTGAAAAATGTGAAAAAACGATAAAATCTATGTTGGTTTTCGGTCACGGAATCCAAAGAGATATGGGACAGATGGGAAACGACCCACAAAGTAAGTACGTAAGCTCTCTCACGGTATCATCTCCAGAGAAATAATACAATTATTTTAGTGAACTCATCGTATTCTTATTCGCACGGCTAACTAATGCAATCAGTGCACAGAGGTTTCAGTTGTTGTACGCAAAATATTAAACGAAACATGAGAAATAAGCAGGATATCACAAATAATAAAACATTTACGTATATAATAATTGTTATTATAACTGTTGCGGTTTGTAAGTTGAAAGAGCAGAGGAGAACTCAGTTTATCAGAGGGTCGTGCTTGCCGATCTCTTCTATATTCTCCGCATTGGTCAGAACCCGAGTAAGATAAGGTGTTGGGGGGGGGGGTTCTCAACAGATTCATTCAAAATGAAGAAGGCCGAATTGCCTGTGTGTAACAGATTAATAGGGTTCTGAAGTACCTCGTAGGCTATACAAAACTGATCAGCGGTTCAGTAAAATAAATATCTGCGTGTAACGATGGAACGCGACCTACAACTGCTATCTCGAGACGCAGAGCCTCGAGACCGCGTTTCAGATGACCTACACTATTTGCAAAGAAACAGTTAAGTAGGACAGGAACAACAATTTTGAGAAAACTTGGAAGTGATTGTATGTCTTGTCCAAATTGAGTTTCTCTGTTTGAAAAGAAAAAAGTCTTGATTTTCTGGTATAGTTTCGAATACGATTGGCCTACTCTAGATTGTTATCCCAGGTAACTCTTAGTACTTGACTGGCCTCATCTTAGACAAAGATGAGACGAAGATTAAAATCGCAACTAATAATGTTTAACTTGTCATCCCTATTAGGAACTACAAGTGTAGTAAATGCATTGTAGGAAGAATTGACTTCCAACTGTAAGCGAAAGAGGGCTAAATACATGTTGTCCATGTTTTTGAAGTTGTACGTGTTGCACTTGTTTTAAATTTACCCTGAAAACGAGAACAATCTCAGAAAACACGGAATAGCCAGATAGTCAATATGTTTAGAACATTACTTGAATAAAACACTAGTTGCCTCCCTTGGATTATTTGGAGTAGGTCGCTACTCTGCCTCATATTACTTCTCCATGGTAACCTGTCTTGACAGGAGCACTGAAACCAATCTACGCTTACCAGAGAGTCAACATTCACGTTCAGCCACATTTCTCGAACAGAAATTTCACTTTTGCGAACATGATTTCGTGTTTTCAGGATAGCACAGCAATCTCAGCAGAAGAGGTGCTGATAAGAGCAGATTGCTATCCAGATCATTGACATGTTTTGATCCAGATTCGATCTGTGCGAAGCGCAATGATTTATAAGAGTTATGATTTTCAAGATGTAATATTTTTGGTCACAATAATTACGGTGACGGTGCATGGAAATTTACAAGACTACACGAAATTCCAACGTGACAGAAGGAGAAAAACCTAACTCATCCGATCGAAAAACACGCCATAGTATACATCAAACTATCAGGAGAATTCTGCGAGAGCAGAGGTGTGCATCAACAAAAAAACATTTGTCTGAGGATCGTTCAGTAGATATCACTCAATTTATTTAAAAGATTGTAAGGTAGAAAATGCGGCTTCCTTAGGATAAGAATATATGTTTGGCGTAAAGAACAAAGCCAGACTCGTAGAGGCCTATTCATGGTAGATTTATTTGTACTGGAACGCGAGAACATGTGCGACTGATGACTTGTGTTGATTAAGGCGTTTTGTGTTTTGCAGTTTTTACCACCTTGACAGATTATCACACTGAGCCCCAGTAATTTGTGCACAATAATCATCTTGTCATTCCTGTATTATGGTTATATATTCAGTGATTGCTATTCTTCTTTTGAAAAATGCTTTTATTTCCGACAACTCCTGCAGCTTCCTTACTACCAACAATCCGAAGTGCAACAGCTTTAGCACATCAGATAATCGAGATAATTGGTGCTGTCATTTTCCAAGCGGATTTGGCAACAGCTATGCTAAACGAATCTACCAGAAGAGACAAATAACATCGGGGAACTCTGTGCTGATTATGAAGGTCCAGAATACGGACCAAAACATTTTTTATAATGTGTAATTTCGTTACCATTGGTTTTGATAATTTGCGCCTTGTTACCTATGACTCGTTCAATAAAACTATAAATGCTTCTTGCAAAAACGTCTGTTCTCAAAATCGAGGGAGTCCAATGATGCAAGATGATACAGTGGAAATCAGGACCAGTAGTGTAACTGAACTGCTGTCCAGTGAATGAATGACTTGTAGAACACGAACCCGAAACCAAAATCGAATAAGGTGAGTCGGCGAGAGAGAACAATCATTGCAATTACAAGCAACATACCTCAGTTTGTGGGGCAATCCAGTCACAAGGGTCCGGGAATGGACTTCAAATCGTCTGCACGGTCTGTTGAGAAACGTATGCCGAGCAATACGGGACCGAGTCGTTAGAATACGGCGAAATCCATGTTTTATAGGAAGCACTGTCGACCAATCAGGGAAAGAGTGATGAGCGTACATGAGACGGAGGGACAGATATGACCATGAAATTAGATCTGACAAGGACCAAGAGAATCACACTCACGCTCGACCTAGACCCTCACGCAGGCATAGCGGGATCTCCAGCCTGGAAGAAAAGTACAAAGGTCACTCGTGCGGTGCGAGTGAGAAAGTGAACAGAGACCGGAGGTAAGCATGACACACAAGATCAGGTACATATGGCGCGTAAAACGTGAAGGTCGTAGGCCCCTGGATTGGCCGGAAACGGAAAATCGGTCTACTGTAAAAGTACTCTCATAGGAAGACGGTAGGTGAATCGAGGCAAGGTAACCGGGTTCAACACGTGAAAGGAAGGGAAGACTTGTAGGTTGAATTTGTTGGTAAGGTCCGAGTAGCAAGGTGATTGGAGTCAGTGAGTGAGAAAAGGAAACTGCATGGATATTTCACAAAATGTACTAAATTACCGTTACAAGTAGTAATTTTCATTGAAAATTTGGATCAAGGATATGTGATGTATATTCCCGCAGTTGTAGTCTAGAATGTCTTGTACTACAATAATATATTTGTATCCATATATATATATATATAATAAACTAAAATTAATCCAGGTTCACAACCATCTCACCCTTGAATATCAACCAAAACCGTAAAGCTTCAAGCTTTTGCGGTTTTTTGTATGCTGGCATCGCATCAGAGATAAAAATGTCATCGTGACATAAGGCTCCGTGTTCGAATAACTTAATTCGTACAAACTGTCCTACAGAATACGGTAAACTACAGATCTTTTGTTTGGAAGCCCGGTTGAAATTTACATTTCACATGATATTTTGTCATCTGGTTCGACTGCGCATTTGACGTTCACAAATGACCTTTGGTCCAATTAGTATTACTGACTGAAACTTCTGAACCCTAAGCGATTGGCCATCTGTAAAACATTTGATCAGTCATGAAACACTCACCTTCAGAATATTCCCCATTTTGTTCTCAATACAGATTACATTGAACAGCCGGCAAAACAAGTCTGTTCCACGCACGTTTCCGCAAGCTTTTCGGCTATCATGACAACTAAAGTCATTACAGTTCTGACGGGGCAAATGGCAATAATTTAGTTCAAAAATGATAATTATATATTTCGCCAAGCTTAGAAATTAACATCAGCAAACGATACGGTAAGTAATCTCGGTGAGTTATTTGTTTTATTGTGGGTGAAATGAGTGCATATAAGAGTCTATTGAAATGTGAGGTTCAAAACATATGACGTTGAGTGTTCGCCGACTTTTGATAAATGTCTGTTCACGGTTGACATAGTTTAACTGACATTAATGTGAACTATCAGGTAAACAAAGCCAAGAGTTGTCCAATGCATATCTCAATTCGTGGGGAATCCGATCACAAAGTTTTACCAAACAATGAAGTTCAATTCATGCAAGATCGAGAGTATGGGTAAATAATTGACCATTTGAGACTAGTGGAAAAAGACGACTAATCACGAGATCTAGGCAGCGGCAATGTGAGATAACACTCGGAGTCACAGAACAGGAAGGAGATTGAAGATTGTCTAGGCGAATGAGCACAGCGAACGATGAAATAAGTAGACTGCCTGACTGGATTGAAGTAAGGTGAAGAATGATAAAAAAAATATGCCAATTGATTATGTGTAAAGACCAATGGATTGGTGGTCTGAGAACCAATGAAGTGATAAATTTCGTGTTAGCAATAACATGATTTGAAGACGATAGATTATTGATGAGCGACACGATCACATGAATAACAAACGAGCCAACAAGAGACGGGTTGTAGGGACATAGTTATCATTGAAATCCAGGGTTTGCTAAAACGCCATGTCATATGAGTGTAAAACCGAAAGAGCTGATCGTCGAAGCTATACTTTCGGTCAGCACGCCTGATTGAAACGTCAAAATTGATAATGTTAAGTGATCTTGGCAAAATCTGTACCCAACAAACGGGAAACGGACAGACGAGTCGCGCACCAAAAACACGCGAAACCTGTTGTCCCATTCACACACTCATTCAGTCACGTTTGACGACGAATCCTAGCTTGGATCGAAAAGTCGTGACGTCAAACGCGGTACAGGAGCGTTCAAATCTCACCATGACGACCTTTTGACCAAAGGCTTTATTGCGAAATAATTCACACTTGCATCTGTATTTCAATTATTGTATAGAAGTTCTGGAACAATAATTGATGTGGTCTGCTTCTAATAATTGAGTTATAATGACCAATGGTGGGACACTATTTCATTTTCGCCATCTCCGGGTAATTTCAGCTATAGGGGACTTAACGAGATAAATGAAATACACTTCATGGAATACCCAATAAAGCCCATGCCCTTCTCTCTGTAGATCAGATAAATGTTTTCATCCGAGTTCAGATCCAGTGAACTCGGTGGTAACTGGACAATCTATGCACTTCGTTTGTGATCCATTTTGTAATTAGAATGCTACTCCCACAAAGCATGGAATATAGCTCTATCTTGGAAGACTTCTATTCTTCCATCTAAAATTCACCCGCCTATTTTGGTGAACAATTCTGTCACAAAACTGATACATTGGCTAAAATAATATACTTTTGATTGAATTGTGTTATTCCTTCCTGCGCCATTGATATTGTTGAGTGGTTCACTTTGGGTTTGATCAAGTAAGGGTGCCTACAAAGGAAATTCAAACTGTTTCATGCTTATGGTTCCACTTTGAAGCTCTGCATGTACACATGAAGAAATGTTCTTCCACAGCTCTCGGTTCCAATTTTGTGGATCAGAAGCAACTAAGAAAGCTTATTCTAATGACCGCATGCAATGGTGTCCACCAGAGCTCGAACGCTTTTCTGGATGGCCTGAAGTTGACGGATAACATGTTCAAGTGATATGATAGGCTGACTGGTGTGAGTAGAATAGTCGTGTCTGGATGAGAGGAAACCATTCCCTTGGAATCACACGACCACTTTCGCGGTTGCTGCCGTTAGTTTGGTATGTGTACGTGGTCCTCTACCACCCATCCACCCCCACATATGGACAGTCTTCATTTATATTTTCACTGTAGTCTAGTTTGGAAGGCTCCCGAGAAACTGCTTTCCTTGCATCCAGTATAAATCAAAACATGGGACCATATATTCTCGTTCGGTAGGTTACCATTGACCAACCGACGAATCCACTTTCGAATAATCATCTTGTGATTTCAAAAATGGACCCTTTTTCTGTGAACGTTCTTTACTATTCAAAAGAGTTTGTGGAGAGGAACTAGCAGTTCAGCATCTAGTTCTGGTTCGCTTAGCATTTTCTTGGAAACCAATGGACCAAGCAAGAGCTCCGTGAAAAGATCTTTCATACTCCCCGATACACAGTCAGTAAAACGAACACACTTCACCAACGAAAATGTCAAGCAAACTCCAGCAATCAAGTGCATGTTATCCGCGATCCTTTCAAACCAGATGTTCAAATAATAGATTTATTGCGAAAAGCTTTTTATCAGCTAAACGTGGCTCTTGATTTTATGTGTGTTTGTGTTTTCCAAGTGAAGCTGCCTTCTAAATTTTCATATTCATTTTTATCCTGCAGTTCAAGTTTTCCGTGGTTATTCTTAGCGATTCACGTTCAATCTTCTGATGAGTTTTTATAAATTGGTTCCGTTGTAAATCGTTATCAAAGACACAGGTCAGTGTAATTTAGAGCAGACTAGGACAAAGGTTCACCAGACCGCAAAAGGTCGTTCGGTTGAACACATTTGCTTTAGTGAAGTGAAGTTATAGGGAGAAAATTCCGATTGTGGTCTAAGTACGCATTATTTCTGAATTCCAAGTCATTACATGTGATTTTTAATATTTTCCCACGCAACTTTTATCCCAATCAATTGGTAAAGGACACACAGTGATGGAGTGCATAATAAGACGATTGTCAGCTTAAACCAACATTACGTTTCCCTAAATGTTTGCTAATTCACAGGAAAATAGTTTTTCTATGAATAGTTAAAGACGGCTAGTTTACCATATAGAATTTTCCGGTGCCTCACAGTGAATTGTATCGCCTGTTGAACTGGATAATGAAATTGTCGCACAAACTCGATAATTACAAATACCACGGGTGAGCGTCACTTTCCAGTTAACTTCCCATTACGACATTGAAAATAGACGTCCGCTGTGACATGGATTTTCGAAAACTTATTAAGGAGGAATATCTCAAGGACAGAAATCCATGTGAACCCTCATTGATGAGACAACACGGATTTTGTCCATTCACTTCAGGAAATTGCAAATGTGCCAGTAAATCGGTTAGTGCATTGTAAGAACAGCGAGTCGGTGGTTGATTTTAGTACTTCATCTACCGACCAATCACGGCACGTTGTAAAACTCAGGGTAGAATATCGGGAGGTATCAACGCTAATTGTATATGGTTGGGAGACAACATGTTTGAATGATATTTGGGTCATGGAGAGAGACCAATAATTTCCATGCATCTTCTTATTTATAGTTTGGACTATAACCACAGCTAGTTTGTCTGT